TGCGGTTTGCGTAATTACCTAGTCTTTCCATTAGAGTGTGAGATAGACTTCAATAAATAATTTTTTGAACAAAAAAATCATTTTTTTATGTCTTTAACTTTTTTTTTATTAGCACTGCCAGTGTAAGTTTAAAATTTCCGATTTTTTTCCGAGATTTGCGAATATCATGATGAAATAAAAAATAGGTATATTTTGCATGGAATGAGCCATATATATTTTTTAAAACAAAAGCTAGAAACTAAAAGAAAATTTAATAAATAAATAAGTTTCTAAAAATGAAATAAAATTTAAAAATAAAAGTTTTTCTTTTTAAAACAATATAATCTAAAAATTAAATCAAAAAGAGAAACAAATTAATTAAAAAAAAAAATAAGTTCCTAAAAATTAAATGAAACTAAAAACCAATATCTTTCGTCTTATAACAATAAAATCTAAAAATTAAAAAAAAAATTCTAAGTTAAAAAATCCCGAAAAAGTTTATTAAAAGGCAAGAAATAAATTTCTAAAAATTAAACGAAATTAAAAAAATCTATATATATATATTATTTTAATTACTATATTAATTTAAAACAATAAAATCTAAATACTAAATTAAAAGAAAGAAGAAAAATAAATAATAAAAAAAACCTTTAAATATACAACGCTTTTATAAATGGACTAAAAAGTAGAAAATAATAATACTCAGTCCCATAGAATTTGTTTTGATACCTTTTGATTTTGAAATTTTAGCAAAAGTCATTATAAACAATTTATGAGATTGAAAATGAAAAGCGTGGGGCGCATGCAATACAAAACATTAGATTTAATTGACAATAGTCAAACTACATAACATAGACCTAAAATTTCTACAGAGAAAGTACAAAATCGATTTTTAGCAGTCGTTATTCATATATCCACATACATACATATATTACCCTTCATATCAATTCTGGTCTATTAGGGTAGATGTCGCCCTATGCACTAGACTTTTTTATAGGAACTTTGCAAAGCAAAGGTTTTATAGCTGCAAATGGTGTCTGGATACACAACATTGCAAGTTGATAAAAGCGTTGTAAATAAGAATAAGAAAGTAAATAAGAAATATTTCAAAGTGTATGTATGAACTAACGGCGGGCAAGGTAGTATATGGGACGATTCACGTCAACCCAACATTCTATTCAATGAAAATGGACGTGCGATATGTCAAAGTATTTGTAAATTAATACCCAATATGGAGAAAGATTTTTTAAAAATGTATCGAATTCACTAAGAATTTGGGGCATCGGTGTCGCTGATTACGAATCTGAATTCAGATTGGAAAATTTCACAATGGCGGCCAAAAAATAAAAATCGTCTGGATTCGCCTAACCTTTACAATTGCTGGTTCTTAAGGTCACTGATTGTGAATCTGAAATCAACTTTTAAAAATTCAAAATGGCGGATCCATAATATATAGATAGATAGTTATGACGGAAACATACATGGCGTATGAGTTACACAGACGATATGAGAATGTTACTCATACGCCATCTGTAAATGACGTTGTGGGAAACCTTCAGCTCCGTTCAAATTGGAAAGTATGTACTTCTCCGTGCGTTTGAGACCCAACGGGGATTTACACAAGCCGATTAACTCTTGTGCGACTTTTTTAATCTGATGCTGGAAAGAGTAACAAGAGCTGCCATTTTACATAGCAACGGCCACATATATAGAAAAATAACGATGCGTAAGTGGAGGTTATCGATATCGTTGGCCTGAAACTTGGCTACACATAAAGAGTTGACGTCACTGTTGGCAGTTATAAAGTAGTAAAGTAGTAGTGAATAACTTTGTCTACCTAGGATCCAGCATAAACACCACCAACCACGTCAGCCTGGAGATAAAGCCAACAGGTGCTATCTTGGGCTCTGTAGGCAAATGAAAAACAAAAATTACGCTCTACAAGGACCTGTGCGCCCTTGGAATGAAAAACTGGCGATACCTCGCTAAAGAAGAGCGGCAATTGGCGAAGTTTTCTTATCTCGGCCCAAACCGACAAAAGGATGTTTTTCAACGGACGTGTGAAGAAAACAATACTTTTCATAGATTAGATAAATGCGTTGCTCTTGAATGGGAGTAATTTCCTACTGGGACAACAGTAGTGTGTTTATGTGAAAATTCTTAACTATTCGTGAAAGTGAACTGTATGTAAAAATAAATGCTTCGAAATCTTTGATCAATTTCGCCTACTTTGAATGCCTTAATTTAAATAAATCACTCGGAGAATATTTAATTAAAGAATAGTAGCAAAAGTTGCACAGAAAAATTGGGAAAATAACACTTTAGAGATTTGAAAATTGTTCTCAAATTTTAAAAGGCAGTGCTTTTATTAGCAACAATTGCATTGTTGGAGAAATTGAGTTTCTCATAAATCTATAGGTAGTTTTGTTAGAAGTAGGCAACTTCCGTCTTAAACTGACTTTAGCGGTTTTTCGTTTTCAGCAAAAGTTTACCAGAATAATTATTAATTAATGGAGAATCCCACTTTGAGAGATCCAAAAAATTTAATTGCTTAAATCGATTTCTGAGACATTGAAGACAATGTAAATAAAATTATAGTTTAAAAAACTAAAACCTCCCTATTATAATTGCCATTCGTACTGTCATCAGGGATGTAACTTGAGAATAGAAATCGCTGCATCTTTTAGGCGCATCAATATTACATAGTTACATCCCGAGCTAATAAGAGGAAGGTAAAAAAGTGAAGTTCTGAATACATCGGAAGGTATAGAGAAAAATGCGGCTTGTAGCTGCGGGAAGCCTTTAAAGGTCTACATTTTATTTCTTCAGCTTTCATCTCTGTAATCCGGCGGGAAAAATTGCAAAGTTCCAAAAAACTAGAGAACATATGCAATGATTGAAGTATTAATCGACAAAAAAAGATAAATAAAAAAATAATCATTTTTATAACCAGTTGAATTGGCAAGTTTTGCTAAAAATTATGGTTTTATCGTTCTGCCCAAAAAATTATTTGAAGATTTTTCCCCCAGTTTTTTGTTATTCAATTGGGAGAAAATACATACAGTCAGCGACGAAAATATGCATACCAGGACGTTTTGACTATATTATTTACATATGTATTTATATTTTCCATAACAAACTTTTGCTTATTTTTTTTTATAAAAATAAAGTTCCTTCAACAGCAAAAGTCACAATATTTTATTTTTTTTAATTTCATACAGAAATGAGGAAAATGCAAGAAACACTAATAAATTTTTAACGCAGTTTCTCGTAACGAAACATGAACACAATTTGAAAGAACATCCTTCTCAAAAATCAAAGGTAATTTTTCGCTACTTCAAACCTGCATATAAAACATTTTTCCTAGGAAGTCGAATTGAAAAATTTAAAATTTCTTGCATTTTCACCGAGTTCTCTCTCAATTAAAAAAATATTCTTGTGGTTTTTGCTGTTGAATGAACGATTTTTTTATACAAAAAAACTAGCAGATACGGCGAGCTTCGTCCAGCCCAAAATATTATTATTTTTTTTTTATTGAAATATTTTGGTCCAATATTTCATATATCTCCATACCAAGTTCCAGTACTCATCCGTGAACACTTTCAAAGATATGCAGGATGAAAAATTCAGTTTGTGTGTGCGATGCTACGCCCCCTTTATATATCTAAATATTTTTTTAGCCTATAACCAACTTTGTAAAGACAACAGCAGGTGTACGAAAACTCAAGAAAATCTGTAAAGGCGTTCTCGAGCTTTGCGAGAGTATGCATATTTTTGACACTGTTTATAAAGGTTCAAATTTTATTTGATTTCTTTGGTTTCGCCAATCAGTTTAGGCCTCCAAAAGCGGGTCCCATTAAAGGCAAGTAATTTTGCATTTTGCAAAGGCTCTCCCGTTTTGGTTTTAGCTGCAAAAGGTAATCCCAGTTTATACATACACTAGGCGACAAATGAAAGTATACACCTTGTTCTAATATAACATTCACAATTAATTTCATGAAAAGTTAGATGTAAGACTTTAATTTATTTTTCTTTTCGCGGTGGACTTTTCGCAGCAATCACCAATACTTATTCACAATAATTTTCATGAAAAATTTTTGGCATTAATTATTTATAAAAATATAGTTAATTCTATAATATAAACCATGTAAATCAAAGTTTAACGTTTTGTATAAAGATCACAAAAATTCAAAACATTGTCATCAAAATTTTCAAATTTTTATTCAGAATTTCTAGGAAATTTTCGAGTATGCAGTTTTGTAGCCCATTCAATATTGAAGTGCAAGTTTCAACCGGCTAAGGTTGATTTTTGAGAATTATTTTTTGCTTTTTGTGTTTTTTTTTTTATATACCAAGTGCAATTTACGAAAACTGGCGTTGATTTTATGAAAATTTGTTTCTAACGGTTTGCTTATATGGAAAAAAGTGCAAAAATCCGGCAACAAAAAAAAAAGCTCAAAAATCAACGGGATTTAAATGGGCTTAAAAACTGCATACTCGAAAATTTTCTAGAAATTCTGAAAGTAGAAAATTTTGATGAAAATTTTTTGAGTTTTATGGTAAAATGAACGATATTTTCATAAATAACTATCTAATGCAAAAATGTTTCATTAAAATAATTGTGAATATGTGTTATATTAGAAAAAGGTGTTTCATCTGTCGCCATGTGTGTATTTTCGTAAAGTTCCGCATCGTTTTTTATTTCTAATTTAGTTATCGGTACTGGACAAAATTAAATATTTTCTTTCACGTTTCGCAAGTTCAATTAAAGCTAAACTTCAATTGCGTGCAACTAATGGAAGCCACTTCCTTAAAACTCCGTTACAACTGATTAGTTTACGGCTTCTTTTTTTCTACATATATGTATATTTTTTGCTTTGGCAATTTGTTTCCACTTCAATTCCGCTTGCAAGCAGACATTTTAATTAGATACTTATACATACTAATATGAGTGTGTATGTGTGTACAATATGTATATGTATGAAGATAGCTGAACTGCATGCAATCTCATCAACACTTACCTTGCCTTGCATTATCAGCCTGATTGTTAATGTGACTGATTCGTCGGTCTTCATTGGCGTACTTGTGTTATTGTCTTCCATATTTGCTGCGGCTGTTGCTGCTGCTGCTGCTGCTGGTGTTGGTGTTGTTGCCGTCGTAATTGAAGCTATTTTTGCTGCTGCTGCTGTTGTTATTTTAGTGGTTATTGGTTTCCTTGTTGCTGCTGCGGTGTGCTTGCGGTTGTAATGTTGCTAGCTTATTTTTCACCTTTTTTTTCTATTTTATATAGGTATTATTTTTCTCAATACGTTATAGATTTCACTTCGACAACACTTACACTTACATAGAACACTTACACTGGTGTACTAAATGTAGTAGCTGTGGAAGGGGTACACGGTGTATGATAGCGACCAACGATTTGATTTGCGAGTAGCGCGTGTGGTTGAGATTTCCGTTTTTTGTTTTTTGTTTTTTTGTCGAGTCGACAATTGCTTGATATCTGCTTCGGCTACCGCTTTTACTTGATTTCTTGTATTTTAATGAACTCTTCAATGATGCTGGTTATTTTATTTTTTTCTTTAATTTATTTTCTTCCTCTTCTTCAATGATCTGTCTGCTGCTGTTTAATGTAAATACCTAGAATTTGTTTTTTATTTAATTTAATTTTTTTACTAAATAATTTTTTTTTCTTCTTGACTTGCTTTATATTCCGCTACGTGTGGAAGTTTGTATCGCTGGCTGATTAGAATAACATTAAAACAAAAAATAAGTTAATTAGTTAATGAATTAATTAATTGGTGGTGTCGTTTATCGTTTACTTAAGCTCATTTGCATTGCATGTAACTGTATGCGCGTGTGCTTGTGTGTGTGTGCCTGCTTGCATTTAAGTTCTGCTGAGTTGGCTGTTTACTTAAGAAATTTTACAAATTAACAGCGTTTTTGCATTTGCTTCAACTTTTGAATAATGCGAATATTTTTATTTATTTATTGTTACAAAAAATGCACATTAATCACTTTGTTTACCGCACTTCATCGATATTTTACTACGCTATTGTTTTTTTTTTACAATTTTATTTTTATTTTTTAATGCTCGATTGGGTTAGTCGATTGCTTGCCTGTCCGAGCGCAATAAAAAAGGGCCAAAAAAGCAGCGAGAAAAAAGTTGAAAAACCAAACGTTTCGCTCGCTTGGCCCGTTGGCTTTCGACTGGTGTTATCAGCAGTGGTTAATCATTAAGCGCAGTAATTTACTTTTTTTCATTTGTTTCATTTATTGACCTCGACACGCTGAGTTCACTTGCGGCTGCTAATATTTCTGTATGCTGCTGCTTGCATCCGCGCAGGGAAAAACTAACAAATTTTGTGCAAAATACTGTGTTGTATTGCCTCTGCAACCGAGTATATATTGAGTTTTGCGGTTGAATACGCTGCTGACGTCGAGGAAATTCTTCACAAATAATAGCCTGCAACAAAGAAATGGCAGAAGAGAAGACAACACAAAGAGTCATTAGTGATAATTAATTGCTAATAAAACATAGAAATAGTATACATAGAAAAATATATATGTATAAATACATCTTTACAACAGTAAAAATACTGTCAAATGTCAACTATGAACAGATTAATTTTGTGTTACAAAAACAAAAAAGAAACCTACAAATTTCCAAGCGACAAGCATTAAAGTGCAACCAACAAAGGTAAGAGTTCGCCGCTTGCAATTTGGCGCTCTAACGACTTGATTTCGTTTTATTTTTTCTTTTTTGTAATTTTGTGAAATGCTTTCTGCTGCTGTTCCCGCCGTTGTTGGCACATAATTAATTTAGGCAACGATAACGTATGTATGTTCTAGACAACATTGCTGCTTTTGTAGTTAGTCTAGCAAGGAAATGGCTGATTTGCCTTCGTTTTGCGATTGCTTCCGGCATAACAAAGATCACACTTTGTACTGAAAGATTTAACCGAAATTGATGGCGAGCCAAGCAAAAAAAAAATAACCTACTGCCGAAGAACAAAATTTCGGTGGCAAATATTAATTTTTTCGAATGTACATACAGTGAACAACAAAAGTCTACCTACAGAAACTTTTCCTAAATTAGCAAAATTTTACATGCTACAACAAAAAGCACTACAAACTACAATAAAAACATATAAATAAACTATCTAAAATTTGTGGAAAATTCAGGAAATTTCAATAAATCTGCATAACAATTTTTTACTTTTGTTGATTATGCACTTTTGTAGCCTACTAAATTTCAATATAGTAAAATGAAAGTTAAAAGTTTCTAAAATTCTCGTTGATTTTTGATAATTGCTTTTGCTGGCGGTGTAATGCCTTTTCTTCCATATAAAAAATGTTCGAGCAAATTTTGTATGGAAGGAAATATATGACATCGTCAGCAAAAACAAAAACAAAAATTTTCAAAATTGAAAGAATTTTTTACAAACCTCAAACTTCATATCCAAAGATCTGAGCCGTAAAGTATTTTTGCAAGACAATTTCGACGAATAACAATTTTCTTTTTGTCGAACGTAGGGGGTCGCCTTTTTGCATTTTTCGGTGACACCTACATTCGGCAATATATTATTTTTTTTTTTAAATAGTTCAGCTGGAATAATCACAATACTTCCTTAGCAACAGTTTAATGATTTTTGGTGAGCTTTAATATACTGACATTAGTGTGGCACGTTAGGGCGATAAGAACTGTGATCTGGTGGGTAAGTACCAGAACGGGATACTTGAGATCAATGATCTTTGGAACAAAAAAATAAAAGAACATCGATATGTTATACATACTTTAAGATCCGACTTTAAATGCGGAAGGTATAACGAAAAACGATACAAAAAAATTGTTTTTCCACAACTAGCGTTTTAGACTCAGGGGCGTACGGCGAACTCGCTTGGATTGCCTTTTACCTTTTCACCTATGTCAATGTCTGCAAAAACAAGAGCTTTCCCACCTTCTTAGAAGTTCTGTGGTGTATCCCACAGCATGCTGAAGCGTCATGCAGTCTTCGTTGAGAGAGTATGAGCCCTTTCGTGGTAATCAAAGCCTTCATAACCTAGAAACCACCACACTACACTTTTATAACTGCACTGGTTAATTTTCCCAACGCTACCAGAAGCGGCAGTGACATCGAACAGAGAGAAATGGGGCTAAGGCCTACCGATGACAGAAGATCCTATATGTATCCATCTACACAGATGGTCCAAAGGAAGAGCAAGAAACCAGTTTCGCTTTCTATTCCGAGAAACTGCAGCTCAGTCAGCCTTTTCGTTAGCCAAACGATTGCAGTGTTTTCCAACCTGAAATTTAAGCTATAGGCAGGCAGACAACTCGGATACAACAACAACCAACCATTTAGTGAAAATTTTAGAAAATTAGTTGAATACCCAGTAGCTGTTACAAACGACACATGGACCAAAGGAAATGGGAAAGCGACAGAAGACCTTCTGAAATTCAACACCGACACACTTAACCCAATTGTTTCCCCTGTTAACGCTTTCACCTTCCCCTCTTAGACATTAGTTTTTACCTTTCTACCACCCATACACTTTACGCCAGTAGGGCTGAGGTAACCGTCGGATGGATGATTATTGCTTAAAGAACTGGCCACTAGCAATCCGAATGTAGCACACAGAATGTACGCGGCTATAGACCGACCTATACTTTATTATGGGGCGCTCGTTTGGTCGCCAGCACTAACTGAGGATTACATCGTCAAAAAAAAACCTCGCGGACTACAGTGGTCGGATTCTCTTGGCGCGATGGCGCATCTCATTGCACCATACACCCTCGAGGTCACAGCTCAACAATTTCTCAGATAGATAGGGGCCAAATAAGGCACTTTCTTCTTTCTCGGTTAGGATGCAATTTGTGGAGGACTGTAATAGCGGGTAATAGCGGGTCCCAAAGTAGGGAAATCAAAAGCAGAATTTTTGAAATTGACCATCCGTAAGCTAAGCTAAGATGACTACCAGGCAAATCTAGAATACCTACACCCACTTAGAAACATTTATACTCATCCGTCGGTGTGCATGCCGAAAGCATGGATTCGGTAGTTATCTGCTGCAACTGCTAGCCTGTTTGTGAAAACTAGCCGCGGACTTTGAATTCACGTAAAGCAAGTTGAAATAGTGGGCCTCATGCATATATGTAAGTGAGCCTAAGCTCAGACTCATCAAGCCCAAAAATTTGTATAGAAAATCGAGTAGGAGCTTAAGCTCACTTTTTATGTATAAGGTCCAATGTATACAAAAAACAGGACTGAAAAGCAGAAATTCAGGAAATATATATTGAGCTATTGCTTCTAAGCATTCTTTAAGGAAAAGTTATAAACAATATCAGACCTTAAAAATTTTCGCATCTTTCAAATTCCTTTATAAAACAGGTGCATACATTAAATTCCTGCGGTCAATACGAAAAAAAAGCGCCAGCTATTTTTTCTACTCAAAAGACAAACTCTTTAAAAAATCGCGCGGCGTTTGCATTCTCACTTCCTGGCGTTAATGCATTGCTTCAAGTACAAGTACTCACACTGTACTTTTCTATGAATAGATTAAAGGAATGTGCGCGAACGTTAGCACAAAAAAAAGGTACTATGACAAAGTGAGAGCAAAACGAAAGCAGTGACATGAAAATATAAACATAAAAGAATAGGAAATGCAGTGGAATAAAAAAAATGCAAGCAAAAAAAATTTAATTATAAAAAATAAGCAAAATCACCAACCCAGGAAAAAAGCAAATGTAGACATCAAAAAGAAATTAAAAAATTTTAACAGAGTAAAGGAATTTCAGTCTGTAAATTCAAATAAAATTAACGCAGTGCATTAAGGACTTTTTACACATTTGCGCGATTTTTGTTTCTTCTTTGTTTGTTTGATTTTTTTCTCGCTCGTTTGTGTTCGACGAGGCGAAATCTCAGATGCGCATTGAGTTGTATGTTTACCATTAAAAAATGCATTTCGCTTGCAAACAAGTATTGCATCGACGACGGTGTATTTTTTTGTACTACAAACAAATAACTTTGGGAGGCGACACATCAAATATCCGTATATTTGAATGTGCATTAGGGTGAATAACCACTCTCCATAAAAAATCACTAGTGTTTTTCCATCGTAATTTTTTAATTTAATTTTTCTTTTAAGACCTGCGGCAAAATATTTTGGAAAAATATTAACATTTACGTGAAATAACCCCCCAATTTTTTATTTTTTTTTTTAATTAATGAAATTAGGTTTTAAAAGCATTTTATTACAAAAAAAGTAAATAACTTTATCATAGCCGTCAAAATGAGATTTTTGGAGCTATTTTCAAATCGGTTTAGCGATATTTCGATGGCAAAAATATGTTTCTGCAAAATTTTTTTTTTAATAAATATCCTTCCGAAATATTTAGGCGGAAGTCTTAAAATATTATAAATTTTATCATTCGGGTGGGAAACCCGCAACTTTTGTTGGTGAGGCACCCTAATGTGCATATAAAAATAGATGTGCGGAAAATTCCAGCGGCTTATAGATATTTGGGCAGAATATCGTAGATACATGTGTATAAATTTGTATATATGTAGTACATATGTACATAAATTCGTTTCAGACACTTTTGCAACAAACTTTTTATTTGCACGCAAAAAAAAAAACGGTAGACATATTTTCGTAATAAGATCCCCCACTCCACAAAACAAAAAAAAACTCACGCACATCTGTTTATTTACACGCAATATAATGAGCAAAAATGCATCATTTTCGCATTGCAATCCGCGGTTAAGTGGCTGCAGAGCAAAAAAAAAAATTGCGAAAATCTCGAAAAAAATTGAAGTATTTTTCTTCACTGCACTGCACTATACGAAAAACTGTTGATATACACATACAGTGCCGAACAGAAGTATTGGCACAGTGAATTTTTCGCAATATATGCAAAAAATTTTGTTCTAATTTATTTTCGATAATTTTTTATAAAAATATTGTTCATTATACACCAGAAAACATAATAATAAAATCTCTAAACTTTGTGCAAAACTCAGGAAAATTCATTCAATTTGCAACTTTTTATTCGGTTTTTTTTTTAGAAAAATTCTAAGTATGCAGTTTTATGGCCCATTCAAATTTAATATAACAAAGTGCAAGTTTGAAGTCGCTAGAAAATCACGTTGATTTTTGGTAATTTTTTCACGCAAGTTCTTCCATACAAAGTATATTCGACAATTATTTTTTGTACGGAGAAAATGAGCAACACCTTCCACTAAAAAAATCGCTAAAATTGAATGTACTATAAAACTGTATACATACTTAGAATTTTTCTAAAAAATCTGAATAAAAAGTTGCAAATTAGTGTGCAAATTTAATGAATTCTCCTGAGTTTTGCACAAAGTTTAGAGATTTTATTTTGATATTTTTTGGTGTAAAATGAACTATATTTTTATAAAAAATTATCGAAAATAAATTAGAATAAAAAACTTTGCATATATTGCGAAAAATTCACTGTGCCA